AGACTCATCAGACCAGGCAACGTTTTTCCAATCTTCTATTGTCCAATTTCGATGAGCTTGTGCAAATTGTAGCCTCAGTTTCCTGTTCTTAGCTGAAAGGAGTGGCACCCGGCGTGGTCTTCTGCTGCTTGTAGCCCATCTGCCTCAAAGTTCGACGTACTGTGCATTCAGAGATGCTCTTCTGCCTACCTTGGTTGTAACGGGTGGTTATTTGAGTCACTGTTGCCTTTCTATCAGCTCGAACCAGTCTGGCCTTTCTCCTCTGACCTCTGGCATCAACAAGGCATTTCCGCCCACAGAACTGCCGCTCACTGGATATTTTTTCTTTTTCGGACCATTCTCTGTAAACCCTAGAGATGGTTGTGCGTGAAAATCCAAGTAGATCAGCAGTTTCTGAAATACTCAGACCAGCCCTTCTGGCACCAACAACCATGCCACGTTCAAAGCCACTCAAATCACCTTTCTTCCCTATACTGATGTTCGGTTTGAACTGCAGGAGATTGTCTTGACCATGTCTACATGCCTAAATGCACTGAGTTGCCGCCATGTGATTGGCTGATTAGAAAAAAGTGTTAATGAGCAGTTGGACAGGTATACCTAATAAAGTGGCCGGTGAGTGTAAGTTTGTAAACGTAGGTGTGAATGCATCCTTCAATAAATAAATAAATAAATCAAATGCTCGGGGCAGGATAGCCATGCGTGGCAACCACATAATCAAAACACATTGTACTATACATTACTACCATTGTTGCAGGTATGAATTGCAACACGTAAATCGATACGGCAAATTGTGTTTCTTTTTGGGCATCCTCATCGTCGCTCTCGCAGAAGAACTTCATTCAGATCGCGTTGGCCTTCCGCTCGTCCTGCTGGAGCTGTCCAGAGGCAAAGAGATGCTGGAGGTGCGCGCGGTGCACAACAAGACGGACACTTTAAACAAGGCATTTTGTTTTGCGTTTTTACCTACAATTACAAACAGGTTCCAGTGTCTGAACAAAAGCTCTTTGGAGTGAACCACTTCTCAACTACCGAGTACAGCTTTCATTACCATGACAACCGAACACGAGCTAGGGCATTACAACGAGTTGAGGTGTGACTTGTTCTCAACGGGCCCAGAAAGGGAAGAGAAAGGCAAGGGCCATAAAAGACATGCATCGTTTGTATTTTCACTGGTGGAGGCGGCACTTCATCACCAAGCCGCCCAATTAGATTCATTTGGTCACACGTGGCGCGAGTACAGCTTTCATTACCATGACAACCGAACACGAGCTAGGGCATTACAACGAGTTGAGGTGTGACTTGTTCTCAACGGGCCCAGAAAGGGAAGAGAAAGGCAAGGGCCATAAAAGACATGCATCGTTTGTATTTTCACTGGTGGAGGCGGCACTTCATCACCAAGCCGCCCAATTAGATTCATTTGGTCACACGTGGCGGGCGGGCGGGCAGTCCAGAGACTCAACACTGTGTGTAAAAGCAATTTCAAAGCAACTTTACCATCAAATGATCAGAAAGGGGGTGGCGGAATTGACAATGAAGTCCAGTAAAGTGTGTGCTTGTGGTGTTTTTATAGGCACTAAAGGGCTTGTGTCTGGACAGCAAGCGCAGTAAAATCCTGCAGAGGCTGGAGTTGTCGCTGGACATCCTCACTGGCACCATTGAACGTATCTCCAACACGGCCGAGTTGCTTGGAGCGGTGCACCAGGTACACGTATGCAAGTTATATATTGTTCACTTTTTTTCAGGATAAACATCAGACAGACTGTCAATGATATTTTGCAGTACGAGCTCTTTGTGTTCTTCGTGTATTGCTCGTTACACATGGTCGGCAAGGAGTGGACTTTGTCATTGCTCATCAAACGAACATAAGATGATCAGCTCTCCTCCAAATTTGACAAGGCGAGCACTGATGTGGCGCTGAACCCGCTGCTGACTGAAACTTCGCTGCCGCTCTCCCCGCCCTCTGGAACTCTGACTCATGAGAAAACTTCAAATCCCTTCTCCAAGCCACCTCCTCAAACTGGCTTTCCTTTCATTTCTGATGTCCCTTGTTTTATAGTTGTCATTGTTTTTCCCTCAATCTGTGCCCCGCGCCCCCTCCACCCAAAGCGCTATATACCTGTAAATCCAATGTGTTATTAACTTGATTATGATTACAAGCTGCTGAAATGAAATGAATTTCCTCCGTTGGTGTCCAGGTTCTCTCCTAGAGATAGAGTGAGAAGCTTGGTCATCCAGGAGGGGCTCAGAGTAGAGCCGCTGCTTCTCTGCTTAGAGAGGAGCAGGATGGACCAGGTGGGCTATCTGGATAGCCATGCTCCAAGTTGGAGGCACGCCCCAACCATTATATCCCATTCAGTTGTAAACGAGTAGTGGTGCTACTTCAACGGCAGAAAGTAAGTCTGCTTCGGTGTTTGGTGGAGGCAAAAGCATTGAGTCTTTTTGGTATGGAAGACATTTTATTTGGTGGCCAGGTGGTGTCGCAAGACACCTAATCTGTTGAGAAATGGATTTTCCACCTTCATGTCGATCAGGGGTGCCCAACCTTTTTTGCCCGAAGAGCTACTTTTTGATCCATTACCGCACTCGCTGGCATACGCACGCACTTGCACACGCATGCCATGATGAGCAACAGACATAACCGCCCCTAAAATGAACGAAACAGAAAAATAAAGTCGACACAAAAGTTTATTAAAAGGAAATCAATGCCTACCTTCGTCGAGACCTGACGCGGGTGCATGGGGCGCACCTTTGCAGCATGTTAACTATCGTAGCTCACGCGTACCGTTATAAAATGCTCATCTCGGCCCTCCAGATTCCCATTCTTTGCTAGTGCCCTCGGTGAATTGTACATGAAACAAACTCTGAATGAGAATAATAATAACAATAAAAGAGAGAGTGCAACAGATCGCAAGCTACAATTGCGGACTGCTGGTCGCTAACAACGTCTGGTGATGCAGGTCACGCGCCACCGTAAGTTAAAGATGATCTGCCTGCTCATGGGCACCTAGACAGTAGCTAGCAAGCAGGCCACGCCTTTGGACACGACTCATTGTGGAACAATAAACATTCACGGGCAACAACTGTGGCATTGTGGTGTTTAATAAAACTCCACAGTTTCGAGTGAACCTTTACAGTGGACATCCTATAAAGCACACCTGTGCAATAATCATGCTGTCCAATCAGAATCTTGATTATGCCACACCTATGAGGTGGATCAACAATCTCGACAAAGGTGAAGTGCTCACTTGGACAGATTTCAACAGAGCGGGGCCTTTTGGGTACCTGAAAAACGGGAGAAGAAAAACAAGTGTTGAGTTTCTATTCTTGTTCAGTCAGTGTAATCTGCTAAGAATCGTTTCAAAATTGAATTTCATTCTGTGCAATTATCCTGTGGTATTGGGTGCTAACAATCATACGTGTTATGTTAATGGTATAAAATCTGGACCAGTGAGTGCGTAACAGTTGCTGGCCGCAATGTACAACAGGAGGCTCGTGTGAGTCGGGCAGTGGAGCTGATGGTGGCTCACGTGGAGAATGTGAGGAGGCGACTGGAGCGACATGAGGCGGTGCTGGAGGAGGCCAAGAAGTTGATCCAGCAGCAGAACTCCTGCAGGAGCATCGATGACACTGGAGCTCCTCTTGGTCTCTCATCGTTTTTCTTCACCTTTTTGTTTGCTTTTCCTATGTTTGATTTGACCGGATTTGTTTCACCCCTAGATCTGGATGAAAGTGACAGCTGGAAGAAAAGCTTTCAGCAGGTAACATGTTGTCTGTGGCAAGATGGCTGCCGCTGCTCGCATTCAACCCTCTGCTCTTGACCAGAATGGCAGTCGCCGCAGAGTCAGCGTGTCACTGATTCCAAGTGACATCCAGGTGAGGCTTCTCTTTCTGAGCAGGGTTCGAAATTCACCTTTTTGAACACCAGTCAATGTGTTTCGTGACTCTCAAAAAGTTACCAGCCAATCAGAATTTCCATTGGTTCGGCTTTTTTTTTTTTTTTTTTTGTAATATATCTTGGAACTGTAGGAGTCATTGCCAGGAGTACAAGTGACGGAGACCAAAACAAAGCAAAGACTGGGAGGGGCATCTTTTGAACTGGAATGATTCCGGTTCCGATTCTGTTCCACGTTTACATTGCAGTCCCATACAGTTCTCGAGTTTGATTCTTTTTGTAGTGTTGGGTATTCGTTTTGAGCGACTTGCAGCATAGTGTAAAATAACATTTGATTCGGGAGCCTCTGGCCAGCCTGTTTTTTTTTTGTTTTTTTTTTAATGCGTCTCGATTCAAATGGGAAGCTCATTGGCAAGCATTGCACAAGTCTGTTAACGACCCCTCATTTGAATCAGCTGTTCTGGAAGAGGGAGACATCTAAAACAGGCTGAATACGGGCTCCTGAGGACCGGACTTGGAGACGTCTACAGTACACTGAGTGACGAGGCAGGAGAACTGAAGTCGGGTTTTTTTTTCATCTCTCACTTCTTTGGTTTCAAGGAATCAGTCATAATTCGATAGGGCCTCCGCCCACGTCAAAGTCTTGAAGCGTCAAAATCTTGAAAAATAATTATTTTGATTTCTTACCTAGCTGTTTTTTTTTTGCACCTATACAGTATATATAACAATAAATACAGCTTCACACACTGGTGGATCTAGACAGTTTTAAAGTTGTCTATATATGTATGAAGCTACGGAGCCCCTAATGTGACATGGAATGAAAAAGAAACAACTTTGGGTAGATAACGCAGTTATTATTATTTTTTTATGCAAGGGAACGCCTTTTTTTTTAAATGCACGTTTATGTACTTCCATATATGCGTGGATGCTGTAGCCTCTAACGCGCGGCTGTTTGAGAGACGACAGTACGCGTCAGATGTCTTTCGCTTATTTGGAAATCGTGCTTAAGATCAAGAGCAGATTATATGTCTTTGTATTTGAATCCAATTTCAAAGTAAAATTGAAATAAACTCGCCCGAGGATAAAAACACTCCATCCTTGTTGCTTTCATTGACCCGGTAGATGACCTAAAAGTACAGAAACGCACATTAAAAAAAAAGCGTTCCCTTTCAAAAAAAAAACAACAACAACAAATAAAAATAACAAAAAAAAACCCCTGCGTTATCTCGCAATCTTTGCGAGGGAACGCAAAGTTTCTTTTTCCTTCCATGTCACCTTAGTGGCTCCGTATGTATTCGGGACTTACCGATCGCCCTTTTTTGGAACCCCCCCAAAAAAATAAAATAAAATGTTCGACAGCATCATTTCTTTCTTGAGGTTGACAATTACACTGCACATTAATCAGAGAATAGCTTTATGTGTCCTGACTCATATTTTTTACTCAGATTTTCAAAAAATGTCTTTACTTTTTCCCCCCACCATATCATATGAAGAAACTGCTCAATTCAAAACGTTTCTAAACAGCGCCTTATTTGAATGTCCCCATCGCACAGAAGAGGTTGTGATGATAGTTTAACAAGCACACCCAAACTACGACATTTTCCCCCGGAACTTTTACCAAAAAATAGTAAAGCATACAATACACCCATTCCTCAAAATCTTTATTTGTAAAAAATATATATTTCATTTGTAAAAATTATATTTTGAGTGCGCGCGTGCGTGTGCGCAACAGGTTTCAAAGATGTTTGAAATTCACGGCAGCCTTGCTTTTCTTCATCTATTTATAATGTATTAACCAATGATATAATAAAATAAAGATATAATGTGAAACAGAAATACTGTATTAAATAGTTTATTTGGCTTTTAATAGTTTATTTCAAATGAGTCAATGGGATCACTAACTCTTGGTATGATATTTCCTATTAGATTGTGTGTTCTCATGAAAATGATTTCTTTGCGCGTCAGCCTCTCCACAAGGCAAAACGCGAGTCCAAGAAGCGGGCCGCTCATGAGGAAGCTGACCCGAGCCATAAGTTGTTCCCCGCCTGCTCATCTCCCTGCTTGAGCTCGGCATCCAGCTGCAGTGGCCTCAACAAGGACGACAGCTGCTCGGTGGATGGCAGGTGCGGTTTCGTGCCACCTCCTGTCCTCCTTTCTTCTTCTTCTTCTTCAAACAGCTTTTCTTCATCTTCCAGACCACTTGATCTCGACGAAGTGTCTGCCGCTGCGCCTCACTCGGGGCCACCTCCCCAGCCGTCTCCCATCCCAGAACGCTCTGTCCCGTGCAAAGCAACTGCTGGTGGAAGGGTGCCGCACAAGAGGTTATTCATCCTGTTTTCATAATTTAGGATGGCCGCAACATTATGACCACTTGGACATTTTAATATGGGCCAATTTAAATATTCTGAAGAACACCGTCTGTGAGCTATTTATTTACCTGCCCTGGTACTGTATGTTGGAGGTGAAATTGAATTCAAGTTCATCCCTTTCATGCACCAATAATGATAACCCGATAACATGTTAAGCTGTCCACTGTAGTAACCGCTGTCCCCAAAAGGCTTAAATTTAGAAAATGTTACTATTCATACCACCTTATACAATTTCTGTTGGTCTTGTTCATCTCTTAAAATATTTTTATCTTGACGCATCCTAAATGCATTGCAGTGACACAAGGGGCAAAAAGGGGATCAAAGACTTCCCCCCGCAATTTTTTCAAATGAATGTTAACATTACTCACAAGAGTACCATTATATTTTATGTCACACGCACACCTTGTTCCACCTCAATTTAACACACAATGTTTTGTCTCGTTGTCTCAGAATGGCGATAAAATGAACGAATGTCTAAAATGACATATTTTGCAAAATAGTAATTTTAATAATTATTATGGTATATAAATAGTACTGTCAATTAATTACATTTTTTAAGTGAATTAATAACACACTTTCCTGTCTTTAATCACGTTTTTCCAATTTTATCTTTATTTTCTACGATGCTTGTAACAGATATTTACTCAAGGAAGAGCTTGGAATTATGTAAAAATCATGCAATAGAAAGCAAAAAACTGGTCCAACAGCTTCTTTGATCCTTGAATCCAATTATTCTCCTGTAAAACACAACGGTTGAACAAAACGATCACAACTATTAATATTGGAGCCAGTGACGTGTTTAGTTCCCCAATGATCAATTTTATCCCAAACTGCAAATGTGCCTCTCCATGATGGTCTTTCAGTTGCGCGCCGGACACAACAAGGCAGAGGCACAAGAGCAAAGCTTCATTGGCAAAGAAAAAGGCTGACAAGGAGAAGAAAAAGTCCAACATCTGCCAGCGGATTTCTGTGTAAGTCTCCGTTTTTTATTTAATAATAGATCCCAATAAAAGAATCCACTGGTGATGACGAAGATGATGATGTTTGATGTCTGTCGTCTTCAGAGATGGCTCGTCCTGCAGGCAGCGCCGTCAAGCCCGCCATCGCTCACTGCTTCTCTGCGTCTTTGTGTTTCTCTCCTTCATCACCTGGATTTTTCTCTTTGTGTAAGAATTTTTCAAGGTAAAGAGAGGAAATATACTTTTTCCAATAAATACGTTAATACTTGGCTCTTTAGAGTGCCTGCCCATCCATTGCAGTATGTGTCAAATTAAATGGCAAAAAAAAAAAAAGTCAGTCTTTTGTTAGCTGCCTGTTTGTTATTAAAAGTGTGGCTGTGAGTGGGCGGTTGCTGAGTTGGGATGTGTCAAGTGCTGACTCCACGAGGAAAACACAAACCGGGCTTTGACTTCACTTTTGGGACGCTCACTTTTCCTTCAGGCTGTTTGAGAACAAGTAACAGTGGCGTGGCGCCACACGGAACTGCCTCCCCAACGCGGAGTGATTTCAAGTGGAATGTGACAAGTGGATGAGTGATCCACTTCTTGACCCTTTCTGTGATTTGACCAAAGAATGTCAGACCTTTCATTATGAATGTGGGGAATTTTTTTTTTTTACATGTTGAAAACAGGGAGGCCCCGGTGGTGCAGTGATTAGCGCGTCGACCTCAGAGTGCAGAGGTTCAATTCCAGCTTCGGCCTCCCTGTGTGGAGTTTGCATGTTCTCCCCGGGCCTGCGTGGGTTTTCTCTGGGTACTCCGGTTTCCTCCCACATTCCAAAAACATGCATGGCAGGCTGATTGAACACTCTAAATTGTCCCTAGGTGTGAATGTGAACGCGAATGGTTGTCCCCCGCCTACTGCCCGAAGACAGCTGGGATAGGCTCCAGCACGCCTTGTGAGGATAAAGCGGATTGAAAAATGAATGAATATTGAAAACAATGCCATAATAACAGTTTCATCCACACTCTTTGCTTTGTAGTTTTGTTAAACGTAAGCCCAAAACAGAAAATGTCCACAATGTTAAGTTGTACATTCTTTACTAAATAAATATAGAAAATAATTACAATGACCTGGTTAGTCTAACGACATTCTGCAAGTACAACAGTCATCAAAGCACCTTCAAAGTCATCAGTGAGGAATAATAAATCTTCCAATTCAACATACTCCATGTTACATTTGAACGATATGTTACACACAACCAATGCATTTATGTCAACCCTGTAGTAGTCTTAAGTAGGCACGAGCAACAACCTTCAAATAGTTGATAAATAGACAAGTTATATTAGGAATGCTTGGTGAACATTTTGTGTGCAAATTGTACGAGTTCTGCAGAAAACATTGTGAGTGCCAAACCGGAGAAGAATCTCCAAAAAAAAACCAAAAAAAAAAAAAAAAAAAAAACATTTGAACATAAATGCCTGACGTGAGGTTTTAAATGACAAACGAGGGAGAGGTATGCTCATCTGGGGGCGTACAGTTGCTGCAGACGATAATCTCAACAGTCCAAATACTTAATAAATACAGACTTAAATAGGAACGATAGAAAGGGCTAGCTAGCAAAGATCATACAAAGACTAAAAGGCGCTATTCAAGGTGAGCTACACCTGGCTCACTATTTCATGGTCCTCCGCCACAAACCACTGGACTGGGGTCCCATCTGCAGCTCTCTGGAGAACCAAATTACCCGAACCCTGCGAGAAAACACAAAAGAATAGAAATGTTTTCACTGTCGGTGTACAGCAGCGCCATCTGCCCGTAGGGTGTCATGACATCAGATGGTGGCGAGGGGTGCCAGCATTTGGGCAGCACACAGCAAAGGCATTTAGAACTCGCACACTATCATAAATAGCTATTTATTAACATAAATAAATAACACACAGAGTGGACATAAAAGGTCTACACACCCCAGATCAAATGCCAGTACAACCGCCCCAAACATTTGTGTCTCTGTGCATGTTAGTAATATATTTTTTGCGTGAATGCACACTGCACCCTAATCATCCTATCAGTCTCACTTTCACGAAAAGTATTTAAAAAAGAAAAGAAAGCAGGTCATCTTTAACCTACGGTGACGTGTGACTGCGTCACCGTAAGTTGTTAGCGCTCAGCAGTCTGCAGTTGCAGCTTGTGATCAGAGTTGTTGCGCTATATCTTTTATCGTTATCATTATTCTGTTTCAGAGTTTGTTTTGTACAATTCACAGAGGGGACGGGCAAAGAATGGGAATCTGAAGGGCCGAGAGAAGCATTTTAAAACGGTACGCGTGAGCTACGATCGTTAACGGGCTGCCTAAGTGCGTCGCATGCCTCAGCGTCAGGCTATTGCTCATCATGGCATCCGTGTGTGTACGTGCGCAGTAACGGGTCAATCGCGGGAGGATGGTTGATCGAAAAGTAGATCTTTGGTCAAAAATGTTTGGACACCCCTGTATTAGACAGTGAGAATAAAAAAACAAAGGGAGAAAAGTTTTTGCACAAGTGTGCACACCCTCTTGTAATGGAGTCCTTTGAGTAACTCCAAATAAAGTTCAGATGTTCTCTCTCTCTCTCGTGTATGTGTGTGAAACCTATTTTTTTCCCACAAATTAATAGGTCAGTCCACATGTGTGCGTGTTATTTTTTCCCCCAGTCGAAAATGCGGAAAAGAGGTTGCGCTCTTTTTGATGATGCAATGTTCATGGTTGAACAAACAGGCTCTTTTTTTCCCTCATCTCCTGAAAAGTGCTGATCATGGAGGTGCACGGATTCCGCTCGACGCCAGCGATATATCAAATCACATTATTGTGGACTAGTGTCATGACTTGGAGACATAAAGCATTGATAATAACTGATCACAAAATATACAGTGTAGGCATTATAATACTACATACACACTTGTATCATGACAAATGTTATTAGTCTTATTGAAGAAGAAAGGTAAAAAGGTTTTTTTTGTTGGATTATTTTTTTCTTTTAGTGAAAAAAAGCTCAGTGGAAAATAAAAAAGTGATATTCTTAAACGAGATCAGCATTGTACTTGCACAGTGACGTTAAATGCGAGTCTCCCAGCTGGATGACGTCGTACCAACCTGATTAAATGGTGGTATGTGCAGTAAAATGGGGCTCTTGGCTCCCAGTGGACTTTGCAGCTCCTCACAGTCTCGGACCAAGTTGTGGCTCTGACTGCGCTGGCGCCAGGACTTGAGCTCCTCTGACACCACCTCCTTGGGCATGATACTGGGGTACTCCTTCAGCGAGGGCGTCCGCATCACCCTTGTGTAAGGGGGTGGGAGCTTGGGCATCTTCCTTTCAGAAGCCCTGCCCTCTTGCCATGGTCTTTGCGACACCAAGTGCTTGCTCAAATCCTGAGGGGAGAGGAGTGGCGCGTTCCCGCAACCTGGTGGCACCTTCTTGGGTGCTGCCGAGTGGAAGCCGTACGGAGGAGGGGAGAGCTTGGGGATCTCCGTGGGCACATCCTGGCCTGGCATGTAGGAGCAGGTGGAGTGCTCGGAGCTGCTGTCCTCCGAGCTGGACTGGTACGCCCGCAAGGAGGAGGACTCCGGGGAGAGCACCAGGAAGTCGGCAACGCAGCGTCGCTGCGGCAGGCGGGATCGCACTCTCAGAGACGCTGAGCTGGGGCACTCTTTGTCAGCAAACGGCTTACTTTTGGGAAATCTATGTAGACATCACACACACTTTTAGGTCGACAAAGTAGTGTAACACATTACAATTCAGTCACACTGTACTAAAACTGACTTCAACTGATCGTAACCCCCCCCCACCCCCCCAA